TGCAAAATTCAGACTATAAAATAAAGTAACACAAAAATTGTGTGATTTAATTACTTGGAAACTAGGAAGGGATCAGTATTTTCAACATGCTAACTGTGATCATTACATATTTCAGACAGTCGCTGAAAATTTCCATCCTCCTAACATTACTCAGACTAAGTTAAAAGAGATCAATTAATAATGTCACGCGGTGGTTAACTCTAGGAGGCCAGGTACAATTAACTCACGTTTCCACCACATTACTCAATAAAGATTAAGCATTATTAGATGATTTTCCGATTTTGCCTAGCAAAGTACTATGTATTCAGTAGACTAACAAATATGTAACATGAGAAAGTCTTAAATCTCTAGCAAAACACAAAATATTTTGGTGGGGAATTTTAATTTTGAAAAACTGATGAATATGACTTGGTCCTGATTCCAGCATTCCGTTCGCTTTATCCTAAACCATTATTTAAAATCCAGCTATTAGGTAAGTAGCCAGATATCCCTCCTAAGTATACATATTAATTAGCTAAAATGTCACTAAATTTTATAACCCGAACAGAAGCACAGATATGAAAAACTGTAATGATACAATAAATAAAATATACTGTTACTGACAACCAGATTTTATCAGTCATCAGCGTGAGAAGTGTTGATTTAATGGTTAGCGCACTCAGTTTTCACCCAGTAGGTTCAAGTTTAAAATGTGACTACATCAACTATTTGGGAGGCTGGGTAGTTGATCTGGCCTTCACACATGAGATTAATGATAAATACAAAAACTTGTTTTTAGTGAGTGTATCACCATATAAACTTGACGGTGTAAATGAAGGTATCTGTTAGTAGATATCTTGTAGCTTTTTCTTAAAACAAGCGATATAAGAGCAATATTAATGATTTCAATGATAGGATATTCCTTGTTAATGAGATCATTATCTTTACGTGATTTTAGTTCAGCATAAAACCAAGTGCGATAACCACAGAAAGAGATGAACTTTTTTTCAAACTCAAGAAAAAAACAGTACCACTGTGTCTTACCTGACATGAACAATAAATTGGTGACAATATTTGGTCCTTCTGTTCAGCCGGTACATCACAACCATCAACATCTACTGTTACTTTCAAGCAAGGTACAGAAACAGCCATGAGTTTTATAGTCCGCCAAACTGACTGCAATCCATCTGTATAAAAAAGGTACATTTCTTGCATAACTAAGTAAAGAACAATGAGGGACACGGACACCGACAAGTATTATCCAAAACGCTATTGCCATAATAAAAGCCTATGGAGAACTGACACCTGAGGGTCTATCAATTTTGAGCTGGATGTTATGTTTTAATGATTACATTGCAAAAGAATTAATGTACAAGTACTGTGCCAAAACTCAAGAGCGAACGTTGAAACAAATTGTGATTACATGACTTTCATGTCTGACTTGAGACAAAATACAGAAAACGTGGTTATTTAAAAATGACAGAATCAACCAAGACGATAACACAGACCATAAAATTCGTATTACATTCAAAGCAAACAAAGAGAGGAGAATGAAGGCGTCATCCCCCCCAAAAAAATGGTGTAAACGAAAATTGTTTATTCTCCAAAAATCCCAACGAAGAGATAGGAGAGACCACGCTGACTACCGTAAGATTTAAAACAACGGTAGAACCACTACCTCCTAACTTTCAAAAGACATTTAACCGGGCAACAAAATAATATTGGACATGACAACTAATTGTTTTCATCTATAAAGGAGGAAATTCTTGTATTTTTACTATTAAATAATTAGCTGGGTTAATATTCCTCTGTATTTACGCAACAACTGACCGGAGTTCGCGAAAAGAGAGCAGTAAGATACGACCAACAGACACAACAAGTAACGATAGGATTTGCACTTACCGCCAACTACTCAGGCACAATCGACTAACATAAATCTATCTGCAAATATTTCGGGTTAAAAGTAGAACTGAGACACTCTGGCAGAAGCTTCATGAAGTTTTTGCTACCCATATTGGTGTTCAAAAATGTACAAAACAACAAATACCTTTCTACTCTCACGCCCTTGTTCATAGTGCTGTGGTGATAGGCCTGATAAGCTTATTTTGTAAATAGATCTTGATGTTATTTGTAGTTATTCTGTCAAATTTTTACTGCATGTACATTTATCGTTAGATGATAAACACGCACAAATCTGCTGAATTAAGTAACGTCTCTAATTTTTGCTGTGTTTATAACATTTAACTGATATATATTAACATTACAATTTGTGCCTGATAACTCTGTTATCATTTGTGAGTTCAAATATTGTTTGGTCCACCATAGTGTCTTAAAAGCCATTGGTTACAGGAATGGTTCAAAATGGTTCAGCTGGTTGTGGACGGAATAGAAGGGGCTTCCGCTTAACGGCCTTCTGTGTCTAGTAGGGCACGGACTGGCGGGTGAGCCACGGATTTTCGCGCACACGTTACATATTGTCGTGGATTTTTTGTGTCGTTATTTATCAGCTATTAACAGGCTTTTTTGTATGACACATCAATTTCTGTATTGCTAGTGCTTGTAACATAGTTTTTATTTCAATTTATTGGCAGTTTGACGTATTTCTTGCTCACCACGTAAGTAAATCTGAAGTTAGCTTAATATAGTTATTTGTAACAATAAAAACTCAAGCAAGTAAAGTTCACCGTGTTTATAGTCAAAATATACATCACAGATTGAGTTTTCATGAAAATGAACCCTGAAATCTTTTACATATGGTTCACCTCCTTGATTGCGGTGACGGTGAACATGGATGTCGGTAGTTGTTTATAAAATGTAAGTAGAAGCAATCAAGCGTTAACCTAATTGTGAATATTATATAACTTGTTTGTATTTAGCCATAAAAAGTTATATCCATTAGAGGTACCACTGTTTTGTACTGAAGTGACATAATTATGTAACGTATCTGAGAAAAAAATATGTGAGTAACAATTGACGTTTATAGTGTTGTCCAGCGGCTTTCTGAACGTCTGCAGTAATAGTGTGTAACACCACATCAAGTAGGAACAAAATCTTCATGAGTAAAACGATCGGTGTTTCTTGTGAGAATGGTGACACAACCATGTTTTTTAGTTAATACTGATTTGTGACGTGTCTGTTATAGGGTTCACAAATGAGTTATTATATACTCTTCACTCCGTTTCGGTAATACAGTTGTTGTGTTACTTAGGAAGTTATGAATGAATGTCACTACTTGTTAATAAAAGACTTATAGGCACAGTCTGTTACTTGCTATTTCAATAACTTATTGAATATGATACTGAGAACAAAGTTTAATTGTTTGTCTCAAAACGGATTTGTTGTTTTTCAGAATAGTATGAAGCTTATGGAATTTAGGATTACGGAAGATCGTGTGGAAAACCGGTTTACAAGTTTACGATAACTGTTTTATATTGCCTACTGCTATGCTCATTCATCTAATGAATTATTTAAATATAAACATAACAACCATACGCAGTGTTTTATATTATAAATCCTGTAAGTTTGTATAATTATGGTCTAAATAAAGCCAAAACAAATATTGACGCAGAATCATGTGACTGCATTACATTTCGTGGTTTCTCATAAGTTGCATACAACTGAATATGCATTATAATTTAAGATTGAGGGAAGAAATAGTATGAAAGATAATAGAAAGCAAAGAATTGGAATGACCTAGGTTATCAATAATAACTATACATATGTATATCCTCGAACAGGTCAAAGGTCATTTGGTGTTAGACTTAAGGGGACATAAAGGATGGGTGGTGTAATAGTCGAGTGAAGCCCAGAAGCATATAAGATAAATTGTGTGATAATTCTAGATGTAATGAATAAATCAGTGAATTAAGAACTAATAAGATAAGTGAAGAGTTAACATAATTTAGCAAAGAAGTGTGAGTGGAAGGGTGGTCTAAGGATTACGTAATCCATCTTATCAAGGAACTAGCTGCATGAAATTGTCTAGTTCCATACTAATACTAACTTGATAATGGACGTAATCTGACAACGGAAAATATGTAAGACGGTTGTTTAATCTGTAAGGTTTTACGTGGAAGCCGCATTATTGTTTTATTTGACTCGTTGATTCCTCACAATGAACAACGATATAACGCTAAGTTCTAACGACAGTTCGTAACTAATACAGTAGTACAAATTCTTAATTTTCACACACAATTATTCGTTAAAGCGATTGGTAAACCTCCCCATGAAAGTATGAAGAAGACGAAAATAAAAAATGAGAAAAAGTTTATTGATTTTTCATGACTACTAAAGTGGAAAGATAAGTTTACAAGTTGTATAAATAGTGGTATGAAATAAAGCCACAAAGAACTGTTAATCGTAAACCTGCTGTCTAGCTATTTATAATTCTTAAGTAAAAATTGTAGACTTTTCTCTCCACCTGATTCGCGAAGCGTTCACCATATTTCTCAACAATTTGTTGTTTGCACATTCTTTGGAGCCGTTGAAGTTGTATATATTCTTTACTCCGTCTCGGTAATGAAATTCCTGTGTTGTTTTGTAAATTGTAAGTATTGTCTAATTTCCATCTGCAGCAACACCTAAGAAGTTGATGAGCTATGCAGTTTATATTTTATAATTTAAATAGCTTACCTGTTAGATTTCGTCTTTTAATATATGCCAGCAGGAGATGGCGGCACGGATATCGACACATATTAAACGTGCTACAATTGCATTCACAAATACTTACATCCACTTCGTAATGTTGTCCGCGGTCAAGCATAAACAACCACTCGCCGCTTTCATATTCTAAGTTAACGAAACGCATTTTTTTAAGTTCGTATAACACTTTGGATCTTGCGAATGGGGTCAACATGTTCAGCAAGGGTATAAGACGCTGTGGAGCATCATAATTGTATGTTCGTCCACTGATTATTTGGTCTTCAATGCTTTTTCTAGAGAATGTCATTGAACTCCACTTAAAAGCCTTATACACGCATTTGTGCAAGCTGTCGCTTTTGCGTACATGTCTTTTTATCTGCCTGTTACCACTAACTGGAATAATGAATATCTACATAGTAGAACAAAACGAAAATCATATTCACTTTTTATTATTAGTTTTATAAGTAGAATCAATACACACGACTTCGGGATATTGATTGTACAGCCGTATCTGATCATAACTGCTGAAGCATATCGCCGTAATAGATCCATTTTCTGCATGCTCTCTAACTTCACCGTTTTGTCGCATCATCTGCAATACCTGCTTCCGAGTCCAACCTGAAATATATTTATATACACTTACCAGTGGAGAGTTCAGCTTTCATAATTTTGACATCAGCAGCGGTCACCTGCTTACCTGTTCTTTCCTTAATACTTTCGATAACTTCGTCCGTCGACTGACAGTGCAATATAACTGGTTTCAAGTTTTCTTTTTCTTCTGATGACAATCATCTACTCAACGGATCACAAACCATCCACGAACTAGTACACGGATGGTTGTGAGACATGTTGTAAGATTTTATAACGTATTGTTGACCCTCCAATCTTACGCGAAACATCGATTGGCAATTTAAAAATTTAGACCTTAAATGTAACACATTAGTTAGAGTCCTCACGGTTTTTTATTCACATTCAGACCTGATTTACGTTTACGACCAAACGTGCAACGAAACACTACGAACAAGTATTTATATCTCACATCCTTCAACAATCTACTTTCTGCGTGAACATAGTGTGTATGGGTCATCTGAGAATACACAGATTTATCCCATCATACTTTATGGAAATCCTTTAGCGCATTATCTAATTCAATCCAGCTTCCGAATCTCTTATTCAGCATAATACGTTGGAACGCGTCGCTTACGTTCACTGAAATTTCACTTGAGCATGAAGCACTAGAGACAACATACAATAGTTATTAAAAAAAGGTTATTCCTTGAAAAAATTAACTGAAGGAAGAACAACAAATATTTAGGACTTACCCTTCAGTTGACATTTCGTCTTAACTCACAAAAACTATGCGCATCTATAACCTTTTACGTTATTTTATCTTTCTTACGTTGTTTTCTGGACCTTATCAACAAATTATATATAGCTGTTGACTTTCACTACAGCACTTAGGACCACTGATCAAGTTTCGAAGGAATAACAGAGCTAAAGTGTGCACTACAAAACAAAAAATACTCAGTTAATGCTCTTAGCAGTTATTTAGTGTTTATTATGCATCAAAAGATGACTTATCTACGGAAACATTTAATACTCATAGGACCCAACACACACACGGCAATTGAAATACGGAATGCCCGCTTCCAGTCAGCGCGTTCAAGGTCGTTGAAACGAAACGGCGGACAGATTTAAAAGGGATTACCGTTTTTACCTTGCCGTCTAGTAGCAATGGATCGCCAATACCTCCAGACAGGAACATAGGTATATTAACGATAAAAAGGGAAAAAGAAGTTGGTGAATCATAGTAAGATACTATCCTTAGTCCTTAAAAATATGTCAAGTTTCCTCTTAAAGGACTCCTGAGAGGTCGCTTGGACTAGCTCAGCCGGCAGCGAATTCCAGCATTTGACAACTCCTAAGGAGTAGAAGTTGTGTCTATAATCCGTTACACTGTTCACATATGCTCCATTTTATCGGATCAGTTGGCCATGATAAGCAAAAATCTTAAATGTCTCATTGACGAACTATTTGGCTTCGTCCATGACTAACAGAGTACTCTTTCTTCTTAGTGATGTTTCAAAGATTTAGAGGTAGGACGTTCTTTTTAAGGAACCTCAAAAAATTATATTCAACTGAACGACTATCAGTTCTCCTCTGCTATGTCCCAAAAAATACAGGATACTGAGAGCAAGACACAAAAAGACACGTTGTATTTTCTCAGTGATTCTACTGTTGACCCATCGATCATCTGTTCGATCTGTAACGCCTCTCTTCTGACTTCTATGCTGCAACTAATAAGAAAAAGACCAGCGAAAAGTTTGTCTATCATTCATTTTTTACCCGAGATCATAAACTTCAAACCCCACAGTTCATACACAGTTTCCACTATTACAAACGTTCAGACAATATAGCTACAGGCCTACAATATCCAACCTGTTTTTATTTCTTATTCCTGAGGAAACGTTTCGGTTAATCTAGAGTATACGAATCAGGGAGACTTGTTAGATGGTTCTGATATGAGTCCTAAGTAACAATGCGAAAACACTTCAGATGTTTTACCAATACAGTCAGGGTTTGGGAACCATTGGAGTTTGTTTATTCATACCGAAATTGGAAGTTGGAATCGTTCATCAGTTTAATCGGGTAGTACGCCTCGCCCCTGGCTTATGCTTAGCATGATTGAGGTAGAACAAGGCCAATTTTAGTCAAAAGTAACAATGCTGTTCAATAATAATAACAGCATGAAGACCTAATGAAGCTTATTATTTCCTGAGCAGCTGTGACTCAAGGCGACTCACAAAACACCCTGAACTCCAAGTTTTATAAACTAAAGAATAAGTTGTAGAAACCTATTCTGAGGTTCGATATTAACATTATTTTCATTCTATTACATACTAAACAGATAAGAGGAGAAAACTATAGAAGCAGGAAACATAATGTTCAAAGCTGACTATTTCGAAGTACATTCACATCCACAACTAAAGTAAGCTAACTCAGATGACCTGTGCGGAATGGTTGAGAATTTACTCGGGTTAGACGGTATTTGTGTGGCCAACCAGCTAACGTCGAAGTCACACTTCGCGGTTAGCACATAGAGTGGATTACACCTTCATTGTATCCGGGCTCGATATCTGCTTCAGTGACCATGTAGCATAAACGACGTTACTCTAGAAACATATTCATAAGAACGGGTACAAAGGACAGAATGAGACTGTGGTATATGCTACTTATGTCGACAAACATTTAGTGTGTATATTTATGGTCTAGTTTAGTATGAGTACATTTATCTTCGTTACCATAATATATATAATCCAGAAATTTTAGATTTGTTATGATGTGATCACCTAACTCATACGACACTACGTGAGTCACATCGTTGTCCATACTAACTCATACTATTGTGATCTTCATCAATATAATGTTTAGCGCTTCTAAAGGACACATTTGGGGTGGAGATAGAATAATAAATTCAACGTAAATAGGGATAAGTAACACAGAATGATCGCACCCGTAATACTGAGCCATGCTAAAACCGATGAATTGTTCCTGCGTTCACCACTTTTAACCTAATCTAAGAGTTACATGTTGAATGCAAGTCTCATTAAATGTATGTTCAGCTTCAAAGATCCTGTGGTTAAAAACCAATACCACCACAAGCGGTTACTGAGAGCCGATGGATAATCTAAGTGTTATAGGTCCTTTCCAAAAAGAGCTCAACCAATGGTTTTGACTTTTAATCTGCTTCTGCGACCAAGAAACGGCTGCTGACATAAAATAGGAGGACATCCTGGTGAAATGTCGCATTCTGACGGCCAAATTCAAATCTCAACTCTTTCAAACCTACTAGATTCAGCAACCATTCTTACTGAAAGTCTCGTCAACCGATTTAGTTAAAAGTCCCTTTTATATGACACGACATAAGAATTTTTGAGATCCCAGAAATCTCAGTCTCCGAGTGTGAAATTTCATAAAATGATGTTTCACGGTTAGGGATATCCTAAAATGTCGGGCTGTAATTCAGATAATAAGCACAATTACTCTGTTTTCTGATCAGTCCACTATAAAGCTGAGTAGAATTGTTTGGCTGGCTGACTCATAATATTATGGTGAATTTGTACTCTTCAGTGACTCCGCTTATCATGTTACCGAACGTGCCGGTGACAAAATTATATTCGCTTCTTCTCAAAGGTTATTTCTGATGTTGGTGGGTGTTATGAACTATGTTCAGAGGTCAACCTTCGGAAGTATACTTTTAGTATGATAAATAATTTAGCCGGGGTTCACAGCGATGTGTAAATCTACAATTTTCTGCTCTTGATAAACGTATTTGTGCACTGAGAGTACGAGTCCAGCAAGTGTAGTGAATGCACGTCTTTGATTTGATAAGGCAAGGAACCACCATGTGGTTATTCACTTAATGTTAATAAACCGTTGTAAATTGAAACAACTGTTTTATTTTGCACCAAATTAAACTACAGCTTCATTAAGGAATTTTCTAGTGAGGTTCCGAAAGGTTCTTCTTACGTATAGTAAAGGCTTTCCGCATAAAGTATCTTGTAAAATACTATTTATTGATGACAATGTAGAACTTTGCAGTTGTGTTCACAGTCAGCTGTATAGATTAGGACTTCTGAGAGATGTTCTTGGGCCTCAAGGCTCGACAAATAATAATGGATTAGCTTTCGACACACTTGCACTGTAAAATATTTACCCTAAATCAAAATGCGAGCAGATCATATAGCTAAAATAATCCTCTACCACAAATGCTGTTGATGGGAAAAACTTCGTATGTCTTTTTCCCTTATAATAAACAATCGTATTCTAACAGTGACAGAAATTACTCAGACTGACAAATTCGATAGACTTCTTTTGTCAGTTTGATAGTCGGAATGTTTGCAAAAGGATGTTTACCTAGGGATGAACTCATAATCATCTGTAGTATTACAAACATAGGGGTAGCTTATCCATGTGGATAAACGACTACCTGGTCGGGCGTCAACAAAGGATACATGTTAATTCGAAGTTGTCTAGCTAAAAAACTGGACTTACTGAAGTGCCCTGGGGCACAGCCTTGGGTCCAGTGTTATATTCTTTGAGTGTAAATAGCCTTAATCCTCTAGCACAATCGATTCCGTTATATGCAGACGATATGGAGACATGTAGAGCAGTAAGGAATGAAAATGATTGTTTAGAGCTTCAAAACAACCAAGAGGAATTATCTAGATAGTCTTGAGTTCAGAAGTTTCTGATTGATGAGTCTCATGACTGACTCGCTAAAATCGTCTTGCTAGCTGTTTTTTACATTTTTAATTACCTCTGAATACCAACAGAAACACTAGAGAAGATACTCCAGATGTGATTAAGAGCTTTACTCCAAGACCAGTTATTATGCAGAAAAACGCAGATATTTATGGTATTGCACCTGCCCTTGTGCTTCTTTAAGTTTCTGGAACCATACTAAACACAGTAGCAGCATAGCTAACTATCCGATCCAAACGGTGACATTTGATTCTGTGTTTGCCAGAAGTTTCCGCAAGGTTCTATTCAGTGCTAATTAGGTGAAAAGTTTCTCTGGCACTTTTTTTACTCTATGGACTTAAAGAGGGATATTTTTGGGACTGCCTTATAGTGATACTGGTCTCTAACTACATAATTCTCGAAGGTGAACATATAATTACTGAGAAAATTCATATCCAACAACTAACAGGGAGATAAGGTCAGCAACGGTAAACGTCGTAACAATTATATTAGGTATCGCTCAACCATAAAGGTGTGGTCACCCTGTTTATAGCCCACTGTATTTCGCATGAAAAATATTACTTTCTATTCAGTCTAACTTTCTTCAGAAGCGATAGAGGTCACACTGCTGACATCTTGAAAGAACGAGGAAGTATAGACGATGGATGAATTTACACGTACAATTTTATAGATTAGATAGTCACATCATGACAAATCTGCAATTTTGAGATTAGGTCTATTATTGTTGTAGTACTAGTAATGAACTAGACAACGGGACGTGGTTACGAAAGATCTGGGTAGGAGTTATAATGAAAAACAGGTTAGTGTTTTTTATGGTTTTTCCTGGTTAGCGTATTTTTAGCGAGTTAGTTTTCTACGGGAAGGGGTCGCTAACCCCATGCCCAACCCTTCTCCTTTATCCGGGATTAGGACCTGCAGTAGCCCCCGAAGGGACTCCAGGCGGGGTTATAAAAAACAGGGTGGAGGATTAAACAAATAACTGTACTGCCCAGTAAAATACTTTTGAGGGTTTTTCAACGCATTCTTTTTGTTACACATGGTGAACGATTTTGAGCTACCTATGACCTAGGTAAACACTAATCTAAAAGTCATTATTAGTCAAGACTTGAAAATCACTTCACACTCCCATCTGATAGCTGCTAATATTTTAAGAATCCTCTTGTCAATACATAGAGTTTTTTCTAGGTAAATATTAAGACTGTTTTGACTTGTCATACAGTATTTGTTCAAACTAAAGTTGAGTTCTGCACACAATCATCGGTATCCTTCTTAAAAAGGACAGCGACCAGTTAGCAAAGGTTCAAATAACGGAAATAATGCTGATTCCCTGTGTCGTCAAGCAGCTGCATGATGAAAGACAGGCTAAA